CTCTTTTACAATGTCAGTAAATTGTGGAAAAAGAGTTGTAAGTTAAAGGAAAATTTGTTGTTATTAAACTGTTATTTATTTTCGAGATAACTAACAACACACGACAAAAAAATGGCAGCCTTCTTTTTAAATAATTTAAGCTCCATCATATTATCGCAACTGGTACGTAATGAGCTGGCGATATGCCCGTAAAACGATTGATCTTGTTGTATTAATTTTTTGGGCATATCAAATATTATCTGAAACATGTCAACTACAATTAAATTATTTTCATTCTTACATTTTACAATACAGTTTAAGGAAGTCTCAAAGTTATGTAATCACCTTAAGAAAATCTTAAAGTATTTTGTTTGAATTGAAAATTCAGTACAAATCAGTCCAAATATTAAAAAGTCAGGACATTAGCGTACTGATTGAAGAAATGAATAAAATCAGTACAAGAGTTGAAAAATCAGAACTGTGCTGATAAAATCAGTACGTCTGTCGACCGTATCGTAGCGACACCAACGCCAACGCAACCCCAAAGTTGTATGTAAACGGGCCTTTAGCGCACTGATTTTAGAGTAAGTCACCGAGTCCTACAGCTCCCAGTATATAATGATAAGATAGAGAATAATGACTTTTATAAAAAAAAAACATTAAATAAACCCAAGACAAATAGCCAAAACCGGTCAAAATATTGCACTCCTATTATATACATTTGTCCCAATTAAAAGTCTCAAGTAAATTGCAGACTTCCGTGAACTAGATATTTATTTCGCTATATCCAACTATGCCACTTGGTCACTATAACCAAATCTTGGTAATTATAACTAAACCTTTTTCTGGGTGTATGCTGCGTGAATCTGGGATACACAATTTTGGAATCTTTTTATACCCGAGCACACTTGTGCACAAGGGTATTATAACTTTCTCATTTTCGTTGTTGGTGTTTCCGACAGGATACCAGGGCTGCCAACTATCCTTATCTATGAGGTGTCATATTGAGGGTAAAAAAGTGCCATCCTTTTTAATCCTTTCCATTTAGCAATAAAATAAGAAGCACATTTCTAAAACAAAAGTGCAATGCCAAATTAAAATAAACCAGTTGAATAATCTTTAGAAATTAGAAAATTTGAGTTGAGAAAAAGAAGTACACGCAAAGGATTTCATAAAAATTTATTGAAATATTACTATTTTTGAAAAGTGCCGTTTCGGCACTAAGTGACAAATTGAAAAATTAACTGCCATTTGATGTAAAATAGGGCCAAAAATGGCACGGTTTGAGCCAAGTTGGCAGCCCTGCAGGGTAGGAGTGTGATATAATAGTTGTGTTTTTTACAAATTATCCAGTAACTTGCCAGCAACTCTCCAGTAACTTTATTTCTAAGAATTCGCTTTTATAGAAAAAATTTGCAAAAAAGTACGTGAACGCTTTTCCAGTAATAATTTGCTAGTTTCATGAACAGCTGATAAATTGGTTGTTTATTCGCAGCAAATTCCTAACAAAACAATATATTTTGTATCTAAATAGGTTTATTTTGTGAATTTCAACAATAAAAACCCACAAACAGTTTCCCTATTAGTTTAAATTTCATCCAGCAGCATGTGATCAGCTGTTTTTCGTACTGGCAAATTTTAACAAGTAAAAATTAATTTAATTTATTTAAAATCCAGTAAAAACTTGCAACTTCAATTGTCAATTTTCGCTCTCTCAATTTCCCCTACTTTGCAAGTTTTTGCGTACGAAAACGCCAAAACATGAAAATTCGTAAAAACTTTTACTGGATTTTACTGGAAATGATTAAAAAAACGCAACTAATGTGAACCGGTTTGTCTTCAAACCAAATTTGACATTACATCATATTATAACTTTGTTCACCTAACGGTTGCTTGTCTTTCCGTCCGTCCGTCCGTGTCCATGATAACTCGAGCAGAAATTCAGATATCTCAACGAAATTTGGTATGTAGAGTGCCCTTTACCCAAGGTAGGTTTGTATTGAAAATGGTCGAAAGCGGACCGAACCACGCCAACTTCCCATATTAAGTTACTTTTCAGAAATATTCACTGAAAATTGATATTTACTGTGATTTTTAGACGTAATATAAGAATATTATACATTTTTGGAAAATTAGCGTAGCCACGCCCAGTTATGATTACATGTGTATACCTCGGTAACCGCTCGACCAATTTCGCCCAAACTTGGCACGGCTGTTGGCCTTGGTACAACACACCAAAGAGCTGAAAATTTTTAAAATCGGACAATAACCACGCCCACATCCCATGTAACGGTTATTTAGAGAAATACGAAATCTTCGATAAATCAGTAAATACTATAGCTAATTTATTCAAAATTGATGTTTGCAATAACTATTTAGCAAAAAACACGTTTATGATAAAATTTTGGAAAATGGGTGTGGCGCCGCCCACTTATGCTCACATATATGTATCTCGGTAACCGCTGTACCAATTTGTACCAAACTCGGTACGGTTATTGTGCTTGCCACCTGAAAACAAAACATTGAAAATTATTGAAACCGGACTAAAATTACTCCAACTTTTCATATAACGGTAAATTTCAGAAATAATTGAAACTTCGATATTTCGAAATTTAATTTAGCCAAAATTGATGCAAACAACATTCCCTTGAAAAAAAGTAACATTATTATAAAATTTAGGAAAGTGGACGTGATACTGCTCACATATAACTATATAACTTTATCGAAGATGTTTGAAATAGGGATAAAACCGCCCCTGCTTACCACGCAGCGGTAGTTTTCGAAAAGGTGAAAAAACTATATTTAATAATTGCGCCGGGTATCTAATGTTCGGTTCCACCCGAACTTAGGCTTTTTTACTTGTTATTTTGTCAAAATATCCAGAATTAGTTTTTCCTTTTCAAGAACTCTAGAACTATTGAAAAGCTACCCAGAACAGCTTTTTTTGTCCTTTTGCGTCGTACCGCATACCAACTTCACAGACATGCTATTTTTTCATTGCAGGAATACACTCTGAGGTTTGCCATTACCTGCCGAGGGGTGAACGCTGTTAAGAAAAACCCCTTTTTCTATAATTTTTGCGATGTTGCTTTGACCAGGGCTTGAACGCAGGTCCTGCGGAGTGGTAGCGCGCATTGCGAACCACCAACCGCAGCGGTTGTAGCGGACCTCTATACGCCACCTTTTTGCAAAAAGGTAAATTTTTAAACAAGTCTATTGCCCAACATTTCTTTCTGAGCAAGTTTTTGGGCAAAACGGTAAGCTTTATAGGCAAATTTGGAGCAAAAAAATTCTTTCAAAGCAATTTTATGTGGGAAAAGGCAAATTTTATCAGCAAGTTTACTGCGCAAAAAATGTGTGTTTTACTGCAATGTTGGGTTGCCTTAATTTTTAGGCATAATAAATTCAAATTTGAGGTCTCTGAAATACTCAAAAATATTATTAGGAAGTTCGGTTCTTACTTCAGTCCATCACTACGTTCTGCAATGCCATGACCACAGCGTTTATCTTTCTTCCATTCCCCCATATACGTTTCTGTGACGGCAGAATCTAGCTGCTCATCTTCCATTGTAAAGCTAGCATTGGAATCCGTGTGGGTTGATCTTCAACGAAAAAATGCATTATTAGAATAAAGCCTTTTTCGAAAAAAATATATTTACCTTGTCGTTAAATTGGATTGCTCTGATCCTGTGCTTACCCATGACGAGGTAGATGCCGTAGACCTGACACTGCTCGATGTCAACGTGCCTCTTTTTTCCAAATCTCCGGTGCTCTTTTGTCTACGCATTTTAAAACCCTAATAAATGTAAGAAATAATTCTATATAAATTATATTTTTAATTATTAATATTTTTTACAGATAAAAATCCTTTTTTTGACTTCTCCGTCAAACTATTGCGCCGCACCGGAAGTTTATCAGATTTGGAAGTCAGCACAAAACCACCTCTTATTTCATCTGACCGGCCTTTGTCTGCTTCACTTATATCGGAACTGCGTAGCGAGTTTAACGATGAGTGCATATCTTTTCGGCGGTGATGTGAAGCTAGTCCAAAAGGAGCTGATATGCGAATTCCATATCCATGACGTTTTCCCTCTTGCCATTGGCCTTGGTATTTACCTATATCCACGCAAATAAAATTCAAAATCAAAATTAATATAATAATAATATATATAATATATATACAATTATCGAATAATAGTGTATGTGGCATTTACACTGTTTCTTTATTCGAGCGACGACAACAACGCGTTCAGAAGGTGCAATCGCAACAGTTGCTGAGCCGTTGCGCCTTCTGAACGTGCCCATTTTCAACAGAGGCAATTTTCTGTAATGATGTACATACATACATATTTTCTCGTTGCCGTTTTTTCTAGGCCTAATTTTAATGAATTTCACACAAACCAAAAAAGTGTTTGTTTGTTTCGCCTTTAGTGATCTGCATTTTCGGAAACCGAATACAAACGAAACATCGCTATAAAGCTCTACCCAGAATTGCTGCGGACGACGGTTAAGCGGTCGGCGGTAAGCAGGGTTCGGAAATCTATAAATATAAAATAGTAGCCTTTTTCGTTGTTCGGAGTTAACTCCAAAAGTACTGCATAGATTTCAGTCAAATTTTCTGAGGTTATACCGTGCATATATGGTCCTATTATAGGCTACCAGAAAACTCGCTAGGTGGCGCTGGGGTCGAGTTATTTATAAAAGTCGTATTTATGAACTGATTTCACGCTAGATGGCTCGGGAGTCGAGTTGTTTATAAAAGTCGTATTTCTTAACCGATTTCGTTCAAATTCAAAGTATAAGCTACCTGCATGATGAAAAAAGCATTTGCGAAAAATGGACCCGATAAAAGCACTATTTATGAACCGATTTTGTTAATGCAAATTCAAAACGTTTATTACTTTCATGATATTTTTTTTCATTCGAAACATATATGTATGTACGTTAGACTGCATCACTCCCCATACAAAAAAAAACCGGTACTGTCTTTCCATTGGAATTATAAAATATATTATATTTTAAGACGTCCACCAAAATATTTCCGAAAAATATTAAGATTTAAGTGAGCTGGACCGATTTGAAAATACCTCCAAAAATGGAGTTTTTTATGAATAAAAATAGTTTCTTAAATATGTTTTTTGAAAAAATCCCCTTAAATGACAAAACGGCTTAAGCTTAAAAAATTTGCATAAAAATATTTAAAAAAAAATAAAAAATACGGAATCGTAATAATGAGATTTTTGATGCTGTTTTTTAACATTTTTCAAAGATTGGTATAAAAAAAGCTTGAATAACTGAACGTAAAACTCTTCCGATTTAGACTAGGGGGGTATCATTGGAAAGGTATTTTCTCACTTTTTTTATTTCTTTGCTAATAAGTTTATTCAAAGGATGAAAGAGAAAGGTAGGATGACCGAACGTCATTCAAAGTTGAATTAAGATGTGTTGGTATTTGAAAAAAAAAAATTGGGACACGAATGACTTTTTTTGCACACAAATAAAAAGAGTGGGAAAATACCAATCAATCTTTGAAAAAAGTAAAAAAAACAGCATCAAAAATCTCATTATTATGATTCCGTTGAAAAGATCTTTAAATATTTTTATGCAGATTTTTTAAGCCTAATCTGTTTTGTCATCTGAGGGGACTTTTTTCAAAAAGTTTTTTAAGAAACTATTTTTTTTCATAAAAAACTCCATTTTTGGAGGTATTTTCAAATCGGTCCAGCTCGCTTAAATCTTAATATTTTTCCGAAATATTTTGGTGGACGTCTTAAAATATAATAAATTTTGTAATCCCGGCGGAAAACCCGCAACTTTTTTTGGTGATGCAGTCTAATGTACATACATACATAAAACGATAGCCGTTTTCGTTGTTCGGACTAAACTCAAAAACCAGTCAAATTGTCGGAAGTTAAACCTTTGCGTGTATGGTCCCATTATAGCCTACCAGACAACACGCTGATGGCGATGGAGTAGAGTTACTTATAAAAGTTGTATTTATTATCCGATTTCGTTCAAATTCGCAAAGTGAGCTACCTGTATGATGAAAAATTCATTTCCTAAAAATGAACCCGCTATATCTGATTGAAATTCATATGGTTCAGTGGTTTTGCAGAAAAGGGACCTAATGGATTGCGCTGCAGCCGAAATATATAGAAACCCACACGGGGTTTGGTCTGCTTTGGCCCTATATTCATCTTAGACAAATTTTCTTTTCATATGGCTAAATGGAGGATTCGTCTAAGTGTGCATTTAAAGACCGCAAAATTGTGTAAGCGCACCTTTGCCTGACGCCCTCATACACCCTAAATGCGATCTTGCACCTACCTCCGATTAAGGAAATTGCTCGGGGTGGTCGTTAGTACAGCAGTAAGACTCAAAGAAACAAGTTCATAAATATTAAGACGAATTGTAAAAGTGGTGAATTGACAAGGAAAGATTCGACCACATCCGTAATAAAAGAATACGGTAGGTATATCAATGGCTTCATTTGAATGATATTTAAGAGATCACACGACTCATTTGTTCAATGTACAGGAAAACTTTTCATCCTGTGGGTGGTGAGGATTCTTGGCCCTCCTATAAATGAAAACGCTCATCTGTGCTCTTTAGTTTCCTTATAAGGACTTTTATTGGCTTGCATGGTACATCGGACCAATGTTGAAGTTGCAAGACTCATGACATCGAAAGGGATTAATATTCCATATGGTATCAAAGCGCTACTATTCTTGGCCTATGTGTGAGGAGGATTCTGCCTTTATTCGTTTCAATTTAAGCTGAAAATGTTTACTTTACAGACCGCTTTTGCTTTTAAACGCTATTTTTGTATTGGCCAACGCGAAAGATCTTATTAGGCGCCGCGAAGCAAGCGGGTATTGGCTAGTATTCATATATGAGCGCTCGCGTACATACATTTACGATTTTATACGCGAAGGTGAACGTATCAAATATTCTGTATTGATTCTCCTTCGCGAACGAGAAGCACAAAACCAGTCCAGATAGTTCACGTTTGCGAATGTTAAGGCTGATTTGCACTATGTCAAATTCAGTGGCATTTGTCGTCATATAAGTGAAAACACATTGTCAAATGGGATTAAAAAGCGGTTCATCGATTGATTTGGATCAGGACAGGTCTTTAGTCGGGTACATGCGCTGCTAAATCGGCTATCTGTCTGTTTTTGGCCTATAATATCATCGGTAAAGGTATGGATAAAGGAGATAAAGATGTCTCAAAATATGTTGCCAAATTTTGGTGAAAACCAGTCTTTAGGTAGAAAAAATTTTTGTTGTTCGTACGCGTATGTATTGGTTGACCAAACAGCGTGCGTTCATATATGTACATAGCTATAAGTGGCAGTGATGCCTTCGCGAAGGTTCACTGTAGGGATGGGTAAATTCGATATTCGAAGCTTCGATCGAATTTTAATCGAATTTTAGCTCCAAAATGGCGAATTTTTGAAATCGAACTTTGTGTTGCTAAAATTCGGATAAAATCGAATTTTTCTAGAAAAAATCGAATTTCATATTTAATTCCAAAAAAATCAACTCTTCAACTTTCTTGTTTCTGACTAAAATTGCTATCACTGTGTGTGGCAGTCCATTTGTCTTAGGGATGCAAGTAAAAAATACATGTTTCTCGATCTGATGCATCGAGACAAAAAATCTTTGCCAAGAAGGAACTGTTATTCTTAAATTTAAAAAAAAATTTTAAAAAGTACTTTTTTTGTTGATTTTTTATTTTAAATTTGTAGAGGTTTTTATGTTGGTAGCACGAAGCTTTTGCCTGAGAAGACCCCTAGTAAAATTTTCCGGAGAATAATTTTCTAGAGTACACCAGTCCTCTAACGACCTTCCAAATTTGGATTTATTGAAGTAAGGATCAAAATTACCCTTTTAGGAGGGAGCTAATAGGTTAAAATGTTCTACGAAAATATTTCCCATGAAATTTTATTATATGTGTCTTAACCTTTAATTTCGCTCAGACATTCATTTTAACTATTTTTTTGAAAACTACTTAGACCGAGACATGAAAACTTTAGTAGGCCATGAAATAAAAATCAGGGACCGTAACGGTTATAACTTTTGTTCAATATTTACGATATTGGTTTCGATATTAAAGTAGTATTTATTAACAATAATTCAAATTTACAATATTTCAAGAAAATTATGAAAGTATGGTTGAATGCATATGCATGTATGCATGAACGAATATAATACAAGAGACTTTAATGTTTGAAGGTGACTTTAATTAACAATAATATGTATGTAGAAACTGAGAATGTTAATACGCGGAAAGTATGACTGATTTTAAATAACAACTTGAGTGCAAGAATTACTATTTAACAATATGAGAAGATTCGCGAAGCGAATGATTTTATGAAAATGAAATATAATTTAAATGTACAAGTACGCAAACTATTAAAAGATAATGCGAACGATTTGATCGATGAATAGAGGTCCTGGTAAGCGGAAATCCCTCGGTGGATGAATATATACAAAAAACCACACAGAGCGTTTTGAAAATTTAGATGTAGATATATGAAGATGTACATACGAGAATGTACGATGGAAATAATGGCGCTGGCGCAACCAGCAAATTTTAAAGTAATATATGCGGTATGAATACCGAATAAAAGCGTTATGCTAGCGTGTGTTTTGCGGTACATAAGTATGTACATATATACATATGTACATCAACGCATATGGCGAATTGAATTTAAGAATCCCAACGAGTAGTGGGTTTTCGCACATACCTTCATATGTATATTACAGCCGTTAGAGTAACGGGAATATGTATATATGTATGATTGGAAAATCAAAAAAAATGTAGTTTGGGACTTACGTGCGTTTGGAGGGTTTTACCATCTTGACTACTTTTGGACTCCCGCGATGTGAATTGGATCCCACGATGCAAATTAGGTCCCGCGCCGTATTTTAGTTCCCACGATGTAACTTATGTCACCTCGATGAGCAATCCCACGACGCACGGAAAGTTGCTTAGTATTCTGTTTATTTGCAATCCCACGTTGGGCAGCCGAAAATTTTTCAGATTTTATCAAAAAACTCGCACGTTAATAAAACCGATTTTAAAAATTTGCTAATATGCGTATACAAAA